TATTTATTGTGCTTACTGAAACTTTTGTGCATTAATAATTAATTATTTCCATCACACATTTGCTGTGTTGTGTACTGTAACTCTCACTACGTGCTCAGTTTCAAGTTCTGCGCAAGTGATAATTTGTGTGCACTTTACATTGTAATTCTTCCTGCGGGCTCAATTTTAAGCACTGCTCAAGTGAACTACAGTTACGCAGTGGCTTTGTGATTTAGTGTATTCAGTGAATTAGAGACTCAGTGCCTTAATATAGAGATCTCAACAGCTTCCTAATATAAGACTTCAACAGCAGTGCTTTAATATAGAGATTACAGTGCCTTAAGATAGTTCCTTGTTATAGTGCCACAATTTAGTGCTCAGTATAGTGCCTCTAATTGCCATAATATAGAGATTTCTACAGCATTCAGTGAGATAGTCTACACAGTGAAATTAGAGACTTAGTGCATAATTTTAAAGATTCCAATAGCAATTAGTGACTCTGCGGAATAGCAGAATAATTTATATTTTTTATTTATCATTAGTGATTTCATACAATAGACTCAATGCAGTATGTCTGAAATGCGTACCTCCACACACTGCAGTGATCTAGATTTGCCAAATCACTTAGTTTCAACTGACTTCTCATATAGAGAAAAAATAAAAGCGGTCTTCGACGAGAGCGTACAAATAGCCAATACAGTTCGAGGTAATAAAAATATATTACCACGCCTCATAGCCACTCTAGAGATCTTTCGGGACATCGCATTACGTGGAACAGAGGTAGTCAACAAAGACGTGAACACTTCTGTAATCCCGCGCTGTACCACTGGCACTAACACCCCTTACCCTGAGGTGGTTACTTCAAGTACAAACACGGACTCCCTGCCAGTAACAGCAACTACGCAGGCTCCCAGGAACACCGGGGAAAGGCATAGCCACTTGAAGTCAGCGACAACACCATCAGCGATTGTGCCCCAGAAACCAACCTTTGCGGCAGTGCTTAAACAGTTCAGTAAACCCAGTCTGATCATCAACCCTTTAGGGAGTATCCATCCACGTGATCTAAGAACACAGTTACAGGAAAAGGTTCCACTTAGTGAGATCCCAGTTGTCGTCAACGCTATCAAACCGGCTCCAAAAGGCGGACTAGAAGTTTTTTGTAATACAAACGAGGAGGTACTCAAGTTACAGGAGCACATCAAAAAAGCTGAGGTCCAGGCAGAGGTTCGTCTCAGGCAAAAGAGGCAGCCGAGAATAGCCATCCATAATGTTCCAGAACATGTTAAACCAGAACAGCTCATCGCAGAGCTCAGCGCAACAGCAGGTCTATCAGCAAGAGTATACAAACCCCTGTTCCGACTTAAAGAGCGCCGAGCAAACAGAGTCAAATGGGTTCTCGAGTGTACCACGGAGAGCTTTGGAATCGCCATCAACATCAGACGTCTGTTCACAGCATGGCAGGCTCATACTATCACGGAGTTCTTGGGAATCCGTAGATGTTATAGATGCCAGCAATTCGGGCACTCCCAGGATCTCTGCCGCAGCAAGAAACAGTTCTGTGCCTTCTGCGCTGGGTCGCACAACACCAAAGTCTGTCAAGCAGAGTCACCAGCCTGTATCAATTGCGGGGACTGTAACTACCGCAACGGCACCTCCTACTACTTTGAACATCCGGCATACCACCCGGAATGCCCGATGTACCAGAGAGCCGTCTACAACACACGCTGCAACACACAATACTGAAGCTATAACATCTCAGCAGCCTACCAATGCTATGTTACTACCTAATGCGTCTGAAGATAGCAACACTATCTCACAAGAGATCCTACCGACAAATATCGACAACCCAGTCCAACCTGATTCTAACTCATTCCTCAGCAGGCTCCATAAAATGCACGCAAATTAACCTCCAGCGGGCAGAAGCAGCTAATACGCAACTAGTGCAGCATGTCCTCGATCATGAGATAGATATCATCCTTCTCCAAGAGCCTTACTGCAGAAACGGCGCAATAGCCTGCCTACCACTCTCATGGAAGATCTTCCAGCGGAAAGCGCAACTTAACGAACTACCCCCGAGAGCGGCGATCATTTGTTGTAATCCACAATGGTCCCCACTCATTATCAAGCAGGCACGAGATCATGTTGCAATTCTTCTGAATTATAATAACTCCCAGATTATCCTATCATCCGTCTACAGCTCTCCACCAGAAGACATCAGCAATGCAGTAGATAGTATAGCAGAAATACACAGAAAAACATACTACCATTCCTCACGTAATAAGTGGAGACCTAAATGCGCACAACGTCATTTGGGGATACCCAGATACCTCACCGAAAGGAACAGCGTTAGAAGAATTTATAATGACAGCCAATCTACAGTTAATAAATACTCAGAATGCCCCACCGACGTTCGACAACTCATACAACAAAGGATGGCCTGATTTAACAATAGCTACAAGTAACATAGCCAACAATATAACAGATTGGAGGGTCACAGACGACGAGAGTTGCTCTGATCATAAATATATCCACTTTGCAATTAATACCGACACAAGCATCACTATCCTTAAGCGCTACAAGATCCCAGGCAATAAACTGCGTGCATTAACAAAGGCTTTCTCGGATACCCTACAGAGTGAAGAAGAAGTAATAGACCAAATAATAGCCCAGAGGAATTAGACACTTATACAGATCATCTCCTCAATACATTGCGATGTATTTGCGACAAGCTCCTGAAGACTCGCACTGCTAAACGCATACAAGGCATATGCTGGTGGACTAAGGAACTACGCCAATTACGGCAAAAGTGCAGAGCCCTAAGACGGCGTCTCCGAGGTGTAATGGACGAAGCCACCAAAATGGCATTGCTGACCACATTCCGCAGGGAAAGAGGCGCATTATAAAAAATGCATACTACGAGCCAAAGTCAATAGCTGGCGGAAATTTTGCACAGCTAATACCAACGTCTATGGAATCCTGCATAAACTAGCTACAAATAAAGTTTACAAGCCTGACCAGCTTTATGCCCAATCAGCCAATAACTCAGACACCACCAATCTTGCAGAAACCACAGCATCTGCTATCCTTAATGCAGTCTTCCCAGCAGATAACCCGGATGATGACTTCAACAGAACAACAGAAGATACGGGACAACCATTCCATTCCTAACACACCAGACGACATTCCCTTCGACTCAGCTGAAATACAGCAAATCTTCCGTTTTCTTCCCATAAAAAAGGCTCCGGGACCAGACGGTCTAGACTATGCAATAATAAAGGTGGCTTACACATCCCGCCCTACCTTCTTCGAGAAATATTTCAGCAAGCTCTTAAAATACCAGATCTTCCCAACTGCTTTCAAAAAAGGAGAAGTGGTCCTGTTCCTGAAGAAGCAGAGATCCCCAGATGACCCAAGCTCGTTTCGGCCAATTTGCCTACTTTCGTCTCTGGGAAAAATTTATGAAAAATTACTGGTAAACAGACTTAAATTCCATCTCCAGCAGACCAACTTCCTCAGCCCACGGCAATACGGGTTCCGAACTGGCTTGTCAACCACGCATGCCCTGAGTCATCTTAAAGATAGCATAGAACAAAATAGAGGCAGAAATCTTCACACGGCATTCATATCCCTGGACCTGCAAAGCGCCTTTGACACCCTCTGGTGGCCTGCTATAAAGCAAGCACTTAGAGAGGCACAATGTCCCAAAAACATCTTTAACATCATCACGGACTATCTACATGCACGTAGCCTCATAGTAGCCAACAACAATGGCCTCACTATCAAGCGGCAGGAAAGAGGGTGTCCACAAGGCTCTTGCGCCGGTCCGTTGCTCTGGATAATCACCTTTAACTCCATACTACAACATGAATGGCCTTTGCACACAGATATCATAGCATACGCCGACGATGTAGCCCTTCTGGTGTCTGGCCGCACAAGAGATGAACTGGAACGGAATGCCACAGAAACCTGCTCGATATTCACGGACCTATGCAATAAACTTAAGTTAACCATCTCTCTCGACAAAAGTCCGCAGCCATCGTAATTCCACGTCCTGGCACAAATCCCACAAGACGTCCATGTATAAAGCTACTGGGCAAGAACTTAAAAATAACGAAGACGATTAAATATCTAGGAGTCACTTGGGATCAAAGACTCACCTGGTTACCGCACCTCCAAGAAATACGTACAAAAACATCGACCATCGCAAGGAAAGCCAGGCAATTTCAAGGGAGAAATTGGGGACAAAACCCCCATATCAGGAAACTATTATATCTGACAGTGGCAGAGAGAATAATTCTCTACGCAGCAGTCATATGGGCACAACCAATGAGCAGCTGAAAGACCAAGCTACTGACCACAATTCAACGGCCGTTTGCATTAAACATCTGCGCAGATTATTAATCATTACAGATACTCGGGAGGCAGGTATATAAGGCGAGAGCGAACATGAGCCTCTCAATTATCCGAGCATTGGCAGAACTGCGAGTTAGATTCACTCCCGACATGCGCTTTGTACAGAGGTGTTTTAAACGTCTATAGAAGTTTGATGTGTACCTACCGATTATACTATGTGACACTATGAACAGCTTTACGTTTATAGAAAATTCAGAACTATAAAGGGCATATTTGGTAAAATATGTTTTATCAAGCTATCACCAGTTTTGCGTGCACTCAATCTATAGGAAAACATATGCACGCAAGGATATGTAACACTGATATTTTCAGACGCGTCTCTTACACAAAAGTATAATTCACTGCAATCGTTAACTTTAGTAAAAGAGCGAATTTCGAGAAGCTAATACTAATGTGATTAATACTAAATGGCTCCCGCATAATAATTCATTCTAACAAACATTTAATAATTTGAGCGAACATATATCCCGGCTTTTTTTATACATGATTTTGAAATTCTCACATATAAATAAAAGTCACAAGTTTATTCGACCTTAACATATACATTGTAATAACATTTGGCATTTTAGTAAAACCATTGAACAAAATTTGCTTTGAGTACTACATACCTGAGCTTCCGGATTTCGCACCAACACCCAATGCACCTGCACCACCTAAAATAAACAAATATGCAGCAGATACAGCTTTTAATATTTTAGGTTTCTTATTATTAATGTGGTTCTTTTTAATAAGAATTAGTCCGAAGATTTCAGGAACTATAAATTAATTTTCTTTTTACAGCCGTGCGTAAATCGTGCGCAATGGTATACGTTGAGTATCCATCAATGATTTGCAACTCCGCGATTTAATTGCCTCCAACAACGGTTGATTAATTGTATTTAGGATTATATATGTTATACTTTCTACTTTAAACCAATCCCCGAAATGAGGTTTATTGTACGGCCCAAAGTATCTACATATTTGTTTTTATCTTCGGTGGAATAAATCGGTAAATTATAATTTCTTTGGACTTGTTACATACACTAGAAAAACTCAGCGAATAGTCGCTAGAAATTTCTTCAGTATTCTAGCTTACGATGAACTCTCGTTTCACTCTAGTAATACTAAATTGTTCCCGCTTAATAATTCACTATACAAAACATTTAATATAAATTAATTTGTTTAATACTTTTTTATACATAATTTCGAAATCCTTAAAGGAAAATAAAGACTGACAAGTTCATTCCTCCTCAAGATACACATAATTATAAATATTTGGCATTTTAATAAAACCATTGAACAAAATTTGCTTTGAGTACTACATACCTGAACCTCCTGATAGGGCACCAACACCCAATGCACCTGAACCACCTAAAGTAAATAAATATCTAGCAGTTAGAACTTTCAATATTTTGGGTTTTTTGTGATTAAAATCGTTATTATTTTAATACGAATCAATCGAAAAATTCAAGAACTATAAATTTATGTTCATTTTACTGCCGTGCGTAATTCATGCCTAAAGGTATACGCCGGGTATCCTTGAATAAGTTCCAACTCCGCGAGTTCATTGTGTCCAACATCGGTTGATTATTTGTATTCAGTATTAGTTTATTTTATACTTTCTAGTTTAAATTAAAGGCCAAAATTTCTTTTATTGGACGCTCCAGAGGATCTACATATTTTTTTTTCCTCGGTGGAATAGATGGGTAAATTATCATTTCTCTGGATTTGTTACATACATTAGAACAACTCAGGGAATATTAGCTAAAAATTTCTTCAGTACACTGGTTTACGAGGAACTCTAGTTTAGGTAGAATATTACAACCTCTTTTCTGATTAAATACTTGGATAATATTTTGAAATTGCGGTTTTCAGTACATAGAGCAGAGTTTAAAATGTTTCGACAACTTATCATAAGTAGATATTTGACAATAAATTTTGCTAGGATAATTAAGATTGCATGAACACATTTTAACTTCTCAAAAAATTTTCTTTTTTTTTGTTTTCTATTATTAAGAGCCATCGAGACCCATATAATGTTTTGAAATTTGTGATATCTGAGTTTTTCACGTCAGATGCATAATTTCGTTTGATAGATAGCGTTGCAACTGTGAATTATGTGTTCTATCGATACTTTTTTTAGTGTATAAATTGTCTAATCTTCTGCAATTTTTTCTTCCAAAGCTTGTTTTCGAAAAAAAGAGAGAGCTGTGCCTGTTCGTCCTAGAATTTGAAAGGAATATAGTGAATTTATAGTTTTATTCTAATTTTAAATCCATGAGTGCATGTTTCGGATAAAGCTCAAATTCTGAATGGCCGTGAACTATACATGGTGATTCCAAATTTATTAGGCTGAAATTTCGAGGGATAATCCAGAACAAAAATGGGAATAATGTTCATATAGAACTCTCGGGTCGCACGCCGTTTATTTATTCATAAATACAAATTAAATCTTCTTGAAAGTATGTCACGAAACAGATTCGCATATTAGTGATTTGCATAAATATGTACTGTTGAGAAACAAGGTAGTTGGTGTGTATTGCAGTAGGGAAAGGATATATTCGCGATTGTACTGTCTTCTTTGTTGGGAGACTTTACGTATGCTGAAAGAGCAGATATGGATTAAAGGCATGACCTTGCAAACGGAAATGCCACATCAGCGCTACGACTGTCAAACGCGCAGTTTCTCCATAGACGAATCCCCGAGGGCATAATGTTTCATCGGTCACGTCGTCAACTTTGTGAAAATTCTTTGTGCTCGTCATCAAACAGGAAAATATTCCACGACGAACTGTACGTAACACAAGATTTGAAAGTAGAATTTTGATTTATAGACCCTTGTCAAGTGCAAGAGGTGTTGGACAAAGCTTGGACTTTTGTAAGCAAAATATTCGGAGAGTGTTAAACGAAATTCGCTTACACCCCTTCCATTTTCTGTGAATACAGGCATTAAATCCGCAAGAACATCCTCTGTGCCTGAAATTCTACCAGTGGCATTTGCGGCTATTTGGATTCCAGGCGGTCCTCGCAGATCCAGTCCTGATTACAGATGAACAAATTAACTCGCAGGGTGTATTTGATGCCCACAATTTTCATGTGTGGGCAACAGAGAATTGAAAGGTTGTGCAACCACATGTATTTAAACACAAAAATCAGTGTGAATCTGCGGAAAGTTATCTTCCAAGAGTTTTTACTGGCCGATACCAACTGCCGCCAAATGCAAAATCTAAATCTATCATTTTGTTCCCAAATGCAAAATCTATCATTTTGTTTCTAGACCAAGTGTTACTAGAAATGTTCCAGATGTTCCGATCTTCATTCGTAAAGGTATATAATTCCAGTATGATAGGGCCCCAATAGACTTACGCACTGAAGTTTGCAATTAATTAGATGTCACTTGTGGGGCGCTATGAAACAGCCGTGGCAGATCAGTCCTTTGGCCAACCGATACCCCTATTTTCGAGCCTCGATTATTTTTTTTGGGGGGGGATATCTGAGCTGTCTTGTTTATGCAACTCCAGTTGACTCAGCTAAGGTTATCGTTACTGGAATATCAGTAGCTGCTGCATGTGTGCGTGAAACATCTGGCCTCATTGTGAGTGTATACAAGTCTCTCCACCGATGTTGTCAAGCACGTGCCGTTGTTGGTATTCGGAAGTTTGAACTGTTCTTGTAAACATCTTGTTTTAAAGGAAATGAGACAGCCCGTATTTATGACTTAATAGATGGATATGACTTATTAGATGGATTGGGATGGGAGTCATTTTTCATTGAGGATATTCTGCGCAGCGACGCCGAACGTGTAGGACGCGCTGCAGTTTTCTCTTACTTTTGATCTGAATCTTCCAGTGAGTAGGCGGGAAGTTCTGTGTTAGTTTTAAGTTTGCAAAACTTATTTTTTAAAGTTCTGATTTAGGTACCCTCGGGTACATAAGAATATCCTTTTTTGGGACATCCAGAGAAGACGACGAGGATTACAGCGATGATGCAGAATCAGGATACTCGACAATTGTGATGCCGGCTACCTCCAGAAGAATTGAATTTGTCAAGACCCTTGTGTCAGAAAAACTTGCAATACCAGAAAGGTAACAAAAAAGAAGAAACTTCCAGTAACCCCTGTTATCCCAACTGAAACTGAGACATGTCCGCCTGCGGAACTGATTGAACAAGAAAAAATGACGCACCTACTCAGTGTAATTGAACAACATGGAGTGGAACATCTTATGAGCCTACGAAGCTGATTGGTCGGAATTACATGCACTCTTTAAACAACATTGTAAGAAATTCGAATCATCTCGGAAAACTAAATCAATTTATGTCTATACAAAAAGCTCTACAGACTACCGTACCATGTGCAAAGCTCTTTTAGCACAGGAAATTCCATTTCACTCATACATTCCTGACTCCTACAAGCCGTTACGTGTCATCCTGAAGAGAGTTCCCGCTTCAAGGAAAGTATCATATATGACAATCTAACCAAACGTGGATATCCCATCTTGAAAGTTCAAAAATTCACAAGAAACAGATCAGAAAACTTCACCAAACTGCCGAGTTCCTCCTTGAGCTGAATAAAAATAACGAAGATCAACTAATTCTTAACTTTTATAACATGTTCAGCTTCAACTGCACAATTGAGAAGTTCAACACACGCAGACGGCCGGTACAGTACTACACAGTGCCAGGAATATGAACACTCGCAGACTGAACCAGAGAGGTACGTAAAATGTGAATAATGCATCGCAACAATTTATGCCAAATCCCTAAAGAACATTAACCTGCATTTTTGCCGAAGTCACCACATCAGCTGCTACAGGGGTCATAGCTACTAACAAAACACATTTCGAAAACAAAATCCAGGAACCTAAGCAATTACCCCCAGCACAGGAAATCTCAGACTTGGATAATTTTCCGCAGACAATCGCAGAGCCAAAACCAGCTGAAATCGCAGCCCAGCAGGAACTAACTCATCCACATCAGATTTACAGCTCAAAATTGAAACAGATGTTACAAACGTCCTACAAGAGACTGAAGAAATTTTGACTTGAATATCAGAGATGAGAAGTTCAAGCAATTTCTTTCCACAGTCATGCAGCTAATCGGCAAATTTAAATCTGCAAAGAACCCTTCAGAAAAGTTAAGAGTCGGTTTTAACGCCACTATAACCATCATGAAGTTTGCGTAAGAAAACTGAGACGATTGACGATCCCCTTACTAGGCAGCACACAAACCCTTCACTAATCCTAAATCTCCTTTCTTGGCCAGCTTCTGAACTCACCGATAAATGGAACCACAGATAGATAAATGCATAGATGGCATCACGTTAGCACATCTTGTTCACCAGTTCAACGATTTTTCCAGATTTACCCCTACTAGTATTTAGCCTATTTTAAATGTTAGTCAACTTCTGTTATTTCAGCTTTCCCTGATTTAAATTAAAATTTTTACTTTAGCTTAAATAACTTTTTGCACTAAAATTGTTTAGGAATTTATTGCTTCACAAAATGTTACAGAAATTGACAGGTTATTTTTTGTCACCAATAGAAACATTTAAACATGTTCTACAAGGAATAGGGCTTTCGGCCCAGGTACCCTGGTGTACCAATACATCGCTCTACTGGAGTATATGGATTTCTACCTAACTTTCCTAAATAGATATTGTTCCTGTCTTAGTTCTGTACCTCGCTTCGAAGTATGTACCATGAATTTGGAACCATTCGTTATAGGTTAGAGAAAATTCAGTAAAAGTAGGAAAAAACATGTATCGCAAATAGTGTTATGTGAAATATATTTTGAAATAAAAAATATTAACAACAAAACGTCGGATTTAAAAATATAGATCTGATTTAAGTTTTATTCATAGTCTGAAAGTATTCTTTTTAGACGCGAGCTTACGTAAATGTATTTACGTTTTTCAGAAGACATGAAAAAAAGAGCACAGTGTTTCTTCATAAGAGCCGGTGCTGTTACATTGAAAATGCGAGTACCCTTCACATCGTTATGAATAGTGTACACAGATGTATAATTTTAGTGAAATTATATGTGGAATTTCTGTATTTTCAGGCATAATAATATAACATGAATAGCATGAAAGAAATCATACTTTGCTGAAAACTTAAGAATACAGGATCCAGTCTATTTAACATTCAGTGAATGGCTATCGCGCTATTTTGACTGGCTATTGCTAAACTGACGACCGTTTTAGCGACTTATTGTTGAATATTTTTGTCAACGCATTTGACAGAAAATAGCCAACCGTCTCCAAACCTGGGGCCCAATTTTCAACATTTTGGTCCGGACCCTGTCTACCTGTAATGGATATTGAAATTAATTATCCGTAATTTATACCTGTGTTAGCTGTAACCATATCTCTGCCCTGACATGCTTTCAAGGAATTTCGAGAAGCAGAAATCATTCAAGATAACCCGGGAGGCATGTATATAAGGCCAGAGAGACCATGAGTTTCTCAATTGTTATTAGTAGTTACTTCATCAAAGTTCGAAGCATTAAAAAACTGCGTGTTTAATTCACTCCTGATATGCACTTTGTACAGAGTTGTGTTAAACGTCTTTACTGATTTGATGCGTAACTACTGAATATACTCTGTGATACTATGAGGAGCTATACGTACACGTTTGCAGAAAATTCAGAACTATGAAGTGCATTTCTGGTAAAATATATTTTGTCAAGCTATCATCAGTTCTGCATGTATTCAATCTATTAGGAATCCGTATACAGTATGTATGAAGGAATTGTTAACCTTCTGTCGAATTTCGAAAATCTAATACTAATGCTATTAATGCTAAATGGGACTCGCATAATAATTCCCGATCGAATATTTTTAATAAAATTTGAGCGAATATATATCTCGGTTTTTTTTATATTCTTACAGGAAATTAAAGACAGTTTATTCGTCCTTTGCATACACATTATATTAAACTTTTGAAATTTTAATAAAACGATTGAACAAAATTTGCATTGAGTACTACATACCTGAACCTTCTGATAGCGCACCAACTCCCAATGCACCTGAATCACCTAAAATAAACAAATATGCAACAGTTATAGCTTCAATTTTTAGATTTCTTGTGATTAAAATGGTTATTTTTAATAAGAATCAATCAGAAGAATTAAAGAACTATAAACTAATGATCAGTTTACAGGCATACCTAATTCGTGCCTAATGGTATACGCCGGGTATTCTTCAATAAGTGCCAACTCTGACAGTTAATTGTGTCCAACATCGGTCGATTAATTGTATTTAGTATTAGTTTGTTTTATGCTTTCTAGTTTAAATTAAAGCCCAAAATGGGGTATATTGTACGCCCCAGATGATCTACATATTCTTTATTTTCGGTGGAATACATGGGTAAATTATCATTTCTCTGGACTTGTTACATACACTAGAACAACTCAGCGAATAGTAGCCAACAATTTCTTCAGTATCCTAGCTTAGGAAGAACTCTAGTTTAGGTAGAATATTAATAACCTCTTTTCTGGTTAAATACTTGGGTAATAATTTGGCATTGCAGTTTTCAGCGCATAGCGCGACCACGAGCAGTGTTTAAAGTGTTTCGCCAACTGATCATAAGTAGATATTTGACAATAAATTTTTTCTAGGATTATTAAGATTGCATGAACATATTTCAAATTCTCAAACATTTTTCCTTCTTTCTTTTATATATTTAAGAGCCATCCAAAGCCATATAACGTTTTCAGATTTGTGATATCTGAGTTTTTCACGTCAGATGCATAATTTTGTGTGATAGATAGCACTGCAACTGTGAATTATGTGTTCCATCCATTCTTTTTAGTGTACAAAATGTCTACTCTTCTGCAATTTTTCCTGCCAAAGCTTGTTTCCCCAAAAACGGGGAGCTGTGTCTCTTCGACTTAGAATTTGAAAGGAATTTAATGACTGTATAGTTTTATTCTAATTTTAAACTGATGAGTGAATGGTTCGGATTAAGCTCAAATTCTGAATTGCCGTGAAATATACAGGGTGAGTCCAAACGTATTAGGCACAAAATTGGAAGGATGATATAGAACAAATATGTGAACAATATTCACATAGAACCCTCGGGTCGCACGCCGTTTAATTATTCATAAATACAAATTTAGTCTGCTTGAAAGTATGTCACCAGACAGATTGGCATATTAGTGATTTGCAAAAATATGTACTGTTGAGAATGTAGTTGGTGTGCGTCGCAGTAGTGAATTAACCTATTCGCGATTGTACTGTCTTCTTTGCTGGGAGACATTACGTATGCTGAAAGAGCATATACGGATTATGTATATGCTCTTTCATATGGAAAATGTAATGCCAGACCTGCGGTAGGAATGTCATACGCGCAGTTTTAAGATAGACAAATCCCCGAGCTCAGAATGTTTCATCGGTCACATCGTCAATTTTGTGAAACTTGTATGTGCTTGTCTTCAGACAGAAATCTAGTGCACGACGAACTGTACATAATGCAAGAGTTGAATGTAGAATTTTGACTTATAGACCCTTATCAAGTACAAGAGATGTTGGGCAAATGTTAGGTTTTGGTCAGAATAATTTTCGGAGAGTGTTAAACGAAAATCTCTTATACCCCTTCTATTTTCTGTGAATATAAGCCTTGAATCCGCAAGACAATCCTCTGTGTCTGACATTCTACCAGTGGCTTTTGCGGCAATTTGGATTCCAGCCGTTCCTCACAGCTCCAGTCCTGATTACAGGTGAGGCGATATTACATCGCCAGTGTGTATTTGATGCGCACAATTCTCATTCGTGAGCAAGAGAGAATCCAAAATTTATGCGACCACATATGTCTCAACAAAGAAATCAGTGTGAATTTGGAGTCAATTATCGTTTAATAGTTTTTAATTGGCCCATACCTACTACCGCAGTGACACAAAAGCAAAGTCTATCTTTATGCAGCACCTTGAAGGAAGCATGCAAATAACATGAAATTTGCGACACGCAGAGGTCAGGTATGCAAATAATTAGAATTTCCGCGCAGACGCACATCAAACGCGCCTGTGGCGCCACTTCAAAAGGCTATTTAAGGCTTTGAGTTTCCAACGATTTCAAGTTCGGTAATTGTGTTTTTCTTGTGGGTTTTTTCAAATTAAAAAGATCAATTATGCCTCGTAGTAAACAGCGATCATCGTTTGATCAAATATCCGATTTCGACAAAGGAAGGACAGCCGCCAGCGAGAGTGTGGATTATCTTCAGAGAAATCGGTAGTCGTGATGGACGAAACCAAACAACTGTATGCGGATATATGTTTGTTGAATGCAGGAGGGTACGACGGACCGACGTGTTCGATCGCATCTACTTCAGTTCACCACTTCACATGATAACAGGAACATTGTGCGCGTGGCAGTGACGGATCGCTCAGTCACATCACGAACCATAGCACATCACATTCAGTCTGTAACGCATCATGCAGTGTCTGCGCGTACCAATTCACACTGTTTACAGCAGAGTGATCTGTCCGCAAGACGTCCATTGCTTCGTCTACCCTTGACATAGAATCACAGACGTCTCCACCGCCAATGGTGCGATGAAGGAAGGATGTGGACGGCAGAATGGAATGAAATTGCCTTTACTGACGAGTCACGCTTCTGTCTACAACACTTCGATGGTCGGATTCGAGTCTGGAGAAACCGTGGAGAGAGGATGTTGAGCAGCTGCGTTATGCACCGCCACACTGGTCCAGCACCGGGTATTTGGGTATGGGGCGGTTTGGATATCACTCTCGCACTCATCTAATACTCATTACCGGTAATTTAAACAGCCACCGTTACATCTCCGAGGTGTTGGAGCCAGTTGTCCTTCCTTACTTTCAGGGCTTGCCCACAGCCCTATTTCAACAGGATTATGCGCAACCACACGTGACACACATTGTCCAAGGTTTCTTCGTCAATCGCCAGGTTGAATTGCTTCCCTGGTCGGCTCGCTCTCCGGACCTTTCGCCGATAGAAAACATGTTGTTCATGTTTGCTGAGCGATTGACGCAGATTACATCTCAAGCTGCCGCACCAGATCAGCTTTGCAACGTGTTGAAGCTGGTTGGCCTGCTGTACCGCAAGAACATAGCCAAAGACTCTTTGAATTATTTCCGAGGCGTGCGGTAGCGGTGATCTCAAACAATGGCGGCTGCTCTGGCTACTGATTCTGGAAGGAACCACACTTCACAGAAGTCTATAAATTTAATCATTTGATACTTGGTCGATATGTTATCTACTAAATAAATTTTGTTGTGATATGTCTTGTCTTTCTTGGTGTTGCAATTTGGGTGGCCAGCAGTGTAGAATAGGGGCTACTAGAAATGTTCCAGGATGTTCCAATCTTCATTCGTAAACAAATATAATTCCAGTATGATAGCGCACCAACAGACTTTCGCACTGAAGTTTGCGATTAATTAGATGTCACTTGTGGGGCGCTATGAACCAGCCGTGGCAAACCAGTCCCTTGGCCACACCGATCCCCCTATTTTTCGAGCCTCGATTATATTTTTGGGGATATCCGAAATGTCCTGACCAGTTGACTCAGCAAGGTTATCGTTATTCGAATATTAGTAGCTGCTGCGTGTGTGCGTGAAATACATGGCATCATTGGGAGTGTACACAAGTCTCTCCACCGATGTTTTCATGATTGTATCGCTGTTGTTATTCGGAACATAGAAATCTTCTTCTAAACATCTTGTTTCAAATAAAGTGAGACACCGCGTATTTACGACTTAATAAGTAGATTTCTACATAACATTTCTATGTAGATAGTGTTCATATCTTAGTTCTGTACCTCGCGTCAAAATCTGTACGATGAATTTGGAACCATTCTCTACAGGTTAGAGAAAATTCAATAAATGTAGAAAAAAAACACACCTATAGCTCGCAAATATTCTTTTGTGAAATATATTTTGAAAGAAAGAATTATTAACAACAAAACGTCCGATTTAAAAATATAGATCTGATTTAAATCTTATTCATGGTCTGAAAGTAGTATTTTTAGACGTGAGCTTACGTAAATGTCTTTACATTTTGCAGAATACATGAAAAAATGAGCAGAATTTTTCTGCTAAGAGCCCGTGCTGTTACACTGAAAATGCCACTATCCTTCATATCGTTATGAACTGTGTACGCAGATGTTATATTGTTAGTGAAATTATATGTGGAATTTCTCTTATTTCCGTCCTAATAATATAACGAGAAAAGCATGAGATAAATGATGTTTTGCTGAAAACTTAGGCATTCAGCGCCAGTCTACACTGGTGTGCAAAAATTAAGCACAAGACGATTTTTTCAATATAACTTTGTACAAAAGCTTTCCAAATCAACACATTTAATACCGTAAGATCCCCAATAGGTAAGGACATGAGTAATGTAGCACAACTTACTAAAGAGAAATCAGAGGGATAAAAAGAAGCTTTATTGAAAAAGTAGCATGGAGTGCAATGCGACTGAAGGCCGAAACATCCCTGCGATGGGTGTCCAGCAAGAAACATCCGGTCTTTAATAGGGGATATGATCTCCCCTCACTGCTAGACAGGTTTCACAGCGTCTGCCCATGCTGAGAATGAGGTTGTCAATGAGTTGTTGAGGCATTGCTGCCCATTGGTCTTGCAGCGCCAATCGAAGCTGCAAAATCGTTACTGGTGGTAAGGTACGAGCTGCCAAGCGTCTGCCTAGAAAATCCCATACATGCTCGATGGGATTGAGATCCGAAGATCGTGCCGGCCAATCCATACGTTCAATATCCTCACTCTCTAAGAGCTGTTCGGCAGCTACTGTGCGATGACATGGTGCATTGTCGTCCATGAAAAGAAACTGCGTACCCATAGCGCCTCTAAAAAGACGCACATATGGAAGAAGAATCTCGTTACAATAACGGGTCCCGTTGACTGAACCTGCGTCGAAGATGTGAAGGTCTGTACGACTACCAACCATGATGCCTCCCCAAACGAGAACACCGCCACCTCCATACCTGTCCCTTTCAATGATGTTCGAGGGATGATTGCGGCTTCCCCGCTCTCTCCAGATCAGTATGCGATGAGAATCGCTACTCAGACTGAATCTGCTCTCATCTGTAAAGATTACTCGTCCCCATTCATTGTCTCTCCAATCCCGGTGTTCCCGGCACCACAGAGAACGCCTTCTCAGATGGGCAGGCGTTAGAGGTACACACCGTACAGGGCGTCGTGCAAACAGACCACCACCGTGCAGTCTTCTGGCCACGGTAAAACGCGATATCGGTCGTCGAGTCGCCTGTGTCGTGTGTCTAGCGATTTCTCCCGTTGTATGCCGCCTGTTTCTTCTGGCCTGTAAGGCAATATACCGGTCATCTGCGGGTGTGGTTCCTCGTGGACGACCACTACTAAACCCCCGGATAGCTGTTCCTGTAGTTTGAAATTGTCTCCAAAGTCGTGAAACGATGCTGTGAGCAATTCCGAACTCTGCTGCCACACTTGTCACACTGCGGCCTTCCTCCAACTTCCCAATGATTTGACCTCGGGATGTCGTCTAACAGATTGATTATTCGCCATTTCTCGCTGAGGCAGCAACTCGGTGTGATTTTAACTGCTATACGGCGTGCAATCTCTTTGCCAGAAATACTGATCTTACACCGACAACATGCTTTATACTACTCAGACACTCCCCCATTACGTCTACCTGCATATCTGCGCATGTGCTACCGTACATCACCTTACTTAATCTCCTGATTGGTCTTTCTGCCCGCTCTGCCTCTTCGTTCAGCTGATATGCTAATTTTTCGACTTGGTCCTTAATTTTTGCATACCAGTGTATTTAACATTAAGTGAATGTCTATGGCGCTATTTTGGCGAGATATTGCCAAACTGACGACTGTTTTAGCGACTTATTTTTGCCTATTTGTATCAACACATTTGACAGGACATAGGCAAATCATCTCCAAACCTGAGGCCCATTTTGCAACATTGTGTTCCAGATCCTTGATGTGATGGATATTGAAATTGAATAGCCTTAATTGATGCCTGCATTAGCTGTAACCGTATCGCGGCCCTGAGAGGTTTCAAAAGATTTCTAGAAGCAGAAATTATTAGAGAGTAATCTGGAGGCAGGTATATAAGGCGAGGGTGAACATGAGTTTCTCATTTGTCCAAGCATTGGTATAACTGCGTGTTATATTGACTTCCGACATGCACTTTGTACAGAGCTGTATTAAACGCCTTTAGTAGTTTGATGTGCACCGTCTGATTATAATCAGTGATACTTGAAGAGCTGTAGGTACGCGTTTGCAGAAAATTCCCAACTATGAAAGTGCTTTTATGGTAAAATATATTTTGTCAAGCTATCATCAGTTCTGCGTGCTTTCAATCTATCACAAAACCGTATGCACGCAACGATATGTAAAACTGGAATTGTTAACCTTCAGTCGAATTTCGAAAATCTCATACTAATGCGATTAATGCTAAATGGGTCTCGCATAATAATTCCCGATCGAATATATTTAATATAATTTGAGCGAATATATATCTCGGTTTTTTTTATATTCTTACAGAAAATTAAAGACTGACAATTTTATTCGTCTTTAATATACACATTATATTAAATTTTTAACATTTTAATAAAACCATTGAACAAAATTTGCGTTGAGTCCTACCTACCTGAAGCTTCTGATAGCGCACCAACTCCCAATGCACCCGAGCCACCTAAGGTGAACAAATATGCAACAGTTATAGCTTCAATATTTTAGATTTCTTATGATTAAAATGGTTCTTTTTAATAAGAATCAATCAGAAGAATTAAAGAACTATAAATTAATGTTAAGTTTACAGGCATACCTAATTCGTGCCTAATGGTATACGCCGGGTATCCTTCATAAAGTGTCAACTTAGCGAGTTAATTGTGTCCAGCATCGGTTGATTAATTGTATTTAGTATTAGTTTATTTTATACTTTCTAGTTTAAATCAAAGCAAAAAGTGAGGTATAGTGTCGCCCCAGAGGATCTACATATTCTTTATCTTCGATGGAATAGATGGGTAAATTATCATTCCTCTGGACTTCTTATATACACTAGAACAACTCAGCGAATAGTAGCTACCAATTTCTTCAGTATCCTAGCTTACCTAGCTGTTCTAGTTTAGGTAGAATATTACTAACCTCTTTTCTGGTTAAATACTTGGGTAACATTTTGGCATAGCGGTTTTCAATACATATGGCAACCACGAGCAGTTTTTAAAACATTTCGGCAACTGATCATAAGTACATATTTGAAAATATATTTTGCTAGGATTATTAAGACCGCATGTACACATTTTAACTTCTCAAAAATTTGTTCTTCTTTGTTCTTACATTATTATGAGCCATGCAAACCTATATAATGTTTCCAGATTTGTGAGGTGTTCACGTGAAATGCATAATTTCGTATGATAGGTAGCACATCCGATGTGAATTATATGTTCTATCCATTTTTTTAGTGTACAAAATTTCTGCTCTTCTGCAATTTTTCCAGCCAAAGCTTCTTTCTCTAAAAGAGGGAGAACATGGTCTCTTCGCCATAGAACTTGAAAGCAATTTAATGAATGTTGTATAGTCTTATTCTAATTTTAAACTCATTACAACAAACAAAGAACAAAGATGTGAATAATATTCACATAGAAACCTCGGGTCGCACGCCGTTTATATATTCATAAATACAAATTAAGTCTTCTTGAAAGTATGTCACGAAACAGATTTGCATATTAGTGATTTGCATAAATACCAAAAGTTGAGAAACAAGATAGCTGGTGTGTACGGCAGTAGTGAATTAATCTATTCGCGATTGTACTGTCCTGTTTGATGGAAGACATTACGTATGTTGAAAGAGCAGATACGGATTACATGCATATCCTTGGTAAACGTAATGCCAGACCTGCGGTAGGAATGCCACACGTGCAGATTTAAGATAGACAAATCCCCGAGCTCAGAATATTTCATCGGTCACATCGTCAATTTTGTGAAACTTGTTTGTGCTTGTCATCGGACAGAAAGCTAGTGCAAGACGAACTATGAATAGTATAAGAGTGGAAGGTAGAATTTTTACTTAAAAGCAAGTGCAAGAGATATTGGGCAAAGCTTAGGTTTTGGTAAGAATAATATTCGGAAAGAGTTATAAGAAAATCGCTTATCTCCTCTTCCATTTCCATTGAATACTAGCCTTCAATCCGCAAAACAATCCTCTGTGCCTGACATTCTACCAGTGGCTTTTGCGGCAAATTAGATTACAGCCGGTCCTCACAGTTCCAGTCCTGATTACAAGTAAGGCCATATTAACTCGCCAGTGTGTATTTGATGCCCACAATTCTCATTCGTGGGCAACAGAGAATCCAAAGGTTATGCGACCACATGTATCTCAACAAATAAAATCAGTGAGATTCTGCAGTCAGTTATCGTCCAAGAGTTTTTAATTGGCCCATACCTACAGCCGCAGTGACGCAAGGCAAAAATCTATCTTTTTGTTTCTATAATAAGTGCTACTAGAAATGTTCCAGTATGTTCCGATCTGTATTCGTAAACGAATACACTTCCAGTATGATAGTGAACCAACAGACTTTCGCATTGAAGTTTTCGATTAATTAGATGTCACTTGTGGGGCCCTATGAATCAGCCGTAGCAGACCAGTTCCTTGGCCACGCTGATCCACTATTTTTCCAGCCTAGATTATTTTTGGGGGGATATATGGACAGTCTTGTCTATGCAACTACAGTTGACTCAGCTAAGGTTATCGTTACTCGAATATCAGTAGCTGCTGCGTGTGTGCGTGAAATGCTTGGCATCATTGGGAGTGTACGCAACTCTCTCCACAGATGTCGTCAAGTATGTATCGCTGTTTGTATTCGGAAGTTTGAACTCATGTTCAAACAACAATTTGAACAAAATGTAAATCTTGTTTTAAATGAAGTGAGACACCCCATGTTTATGACTTAATAGATGGATTTCTACCTCACTTTCCTATGCCGATATTCTTTATATTTTCTTTCTGTACCTCGCTTCGAAGTTTGTACCATGAATTTTTAAACATTTGGCATAGGTTAGAAATAATTCACTAAAAGTAGAAAAAAAACTATCGTAAATAGTGTTTTGTGAAATATATTTTGATAGAAAAAATTATTAACAACAAAACGTCCGATCTTAAAATGTAGATAAAATTATTAACAACAAAACGTCAGATCTGAAAATATAGATATGATTTAAATCTTATTTACAATCTGAAAGTTGCTATATTTAGACGTCAGCTTACGTCAATGTCTATACATTTTGCAGAATACAAGTAAAAATGATCGCCCTTTATCTGATGAAAGCCGCTGATGTTGTACTGATATTGCGACTATCATTCATATCGTTAGGGATTGATTGCGAGCATCATTCATATCGTTAGGAATTGATTGCGACTATCATTCATATCGTTAGGAATTGATTGCGAGTATCATTCATATCGTTAGGAATTGATTGCGACTATCATTCATATCGTTAGGAATTGGGCACATAGATGGATAATTTTAGTGAATTTATATGTGGGATTTCTATATTTTCCGGCACAGCAATATAACATGAAGAGTATGAGGCAAATCAAGCTTTGCTGAAAATTTGAGACTAGAGGGCCAGTCTACTTAACATTCAGTAAATGGCTATCGCGCTATTTTGGCGAGATAATACCAAACTGACGACTGTTTTAGCGACATAAATTTGCCTATTTTTGTCAACACCTTTGACAGGAAATAGCCAAATGTTTCCAGATCTGTGGCTCATTTTGCTATATTTTGGACCGGACCCTGTCTTTCTGTAATGGATATTGAAACTGAATACTCGTAATTGATCCCTGTATTAACTGTAACCATATCGCGGCCCTGACATTCTTTCAAAGGATTTCTAGTAATAGAAATCATTAGAGATTACTCAGGATGCAGGTATATAAGGCGAGAGGGAACATGAGTTTCTCAATTGTCTGAGCATTGCATAACTGCGTGTTAGATTCACACCCGACATGCACTTTGTACAGGAGCTGTTTTAAACGTCTTTAGTAGTTTGATGTGTACCTACCAATTATACTATGTGACACTATGAAGAGCTGTACGTATACGTTTCTAGAAAATACAGAACTATGAAGGGCATATTTGGTAAATTATATTTTATCAAGCTATTACCAGTTTTGCGTGCACTCAATCTATAGGAAAATATATGCACGCAAGGATACGTAACACTGATATTTTCGGACGCGTCTCTCACACAAAAGTATAATTCACTGCAATCGTTAACTTTAGTAAAAGAGCGAATTTCGAGAAGCTAATACTAATGTGATTAATGCTAAATGAGTCCCGCATAATAATTCACTCTAGCAAACATTTAAGTTAATTTGAGCGAATATATATCCCTGCTTTTTTATACATAATTTTGAAATTCTCACAGATAAATAAACCTGGAAAGTTTATTCGCCCTTATAATATACATTTAACATAATTTGCTTTGAGTACTACATACCTGAGCTTCCAGATTTCGCACCAACACCCAATGCACCTGAACCACCTAAAATAGAGAAATATGCAGCAGATACAGCTTTCAATATTTTAGGTTTCTTATGATTAAAATGGTCCTTTTTAATAAGAAATAGTCCGAAGAATTCAAGAAGTATAAATTAATGTTCATTTTACAGCCGTGCGTAATTCGTGCCCAATGGTATACTTTGAGTATCCTTCAATAAGTTCCAACTCCGCGATTAATTTGCCTCCAACATCGGTTGATTAATTGTATTTAGGATTAGTTTAATTTATACTTTCTAGTTTAAATTAAACCCCGAAATGAGGTTTATTGTACGGTGCAAAGTATCTACATATTTGTTTTTATCTTCGGTGGAATAAATGGGTAAATTATCATTTCTTTGGACTTGTTTCATACACTAGAAAAACTCAGCGAATAGTCGCTAGTAATTTCTTCAGTATTCTAGCTTACGATGAACTCTAATTTAGGTAGAATATTACAATCTCTTTTCTGGTTAAATACTTGGGTAATAATATTTTGGCATAGCGGATTACAGTACATATAGGCAGTAGAGAAACAATCTATTCGTGATTGGGCTGTCCTCGGTGATAGGAGACTTTACGCATGCGGAAAGAGCTCTATTTTGGCGAGGAATCGACAAACTCACGACTGCTTAGGCGATTAATTTTTGTCATCAAATCTGAGGGGAAATGGCCAAACGTCTGAAAACTTGGCGCTTAAATACTTGGGTAATATTTTGGCATTGCGGTTTTCAGTACATAATGCAATCACGAACAGTTTTTAAGACGTTTCGGCAACTGATCACAAGCAGATATTTGAAAATAAATTTTGCTAAGAGCTTATCAAAAATTGCATGAACAGATTTCAACTTCCCCAAAATTTGTCCTTCTTTGTTTAATATTATTAAGAGCTATCCAAACCTGTATAATATTTCCAGATTTGTGATATCTGAGCTTTTCACGTCAGATGTATAATTGCTTTTGATAGATAGCACTGTAACTGTAAATTATGTGTTCTATCCATTTTTTAGTGTTCAAATTGTTTAATATTCCTCAATTTTTCCTGCCAAAGCTCACTTCCCTAAATAAAGGGAGAGCTGTGTCACTTCGCCCTAGAATTTGAAAGGAAATTAATGTATTTATTGTTTTATTTTAATTTAATTCACTGAGTGCATGTTTCGGATTAAGCTCTAATTCTGAATTGTTGTCATCTATACAGTATGTTTCCATATTGATGGTACAAACTTGGAGGGATGATCCAGAGCAAAGATATGAAGAATATTCACATACAAACCTCTTGTCGTAAGCCATTTATTTATTCATAAATACAACTTAAAATGCACTTAGAATAAAAAACTGTAAAATGCTTATTGCGAGCAGATAACATCTCATATGAATTGCCTCATACGAAAAACAGCACACATAGAAAAACTTGAAACATATATGAAAAGATCTTCTTAAGAGTACGTGACGATATAGATTTGCATATTAGTAATTTGCATAAACATTTACTGCTGCGAAGGAAGGTAGTAGGTGTGCATCGCAGTAGGGAAAGAATCTATTCGAGATTGTACTGTCTTCAAATGTGGGAGATTTTACCGTATGCCGAAAGAGCTGATATGGATTACATGCATGGCCGTGCAAACTGTAATGCCAGAGCTGCGCTAGGAATGTCACACGTGCAGTTTCTCGGTAGAGGAATACCCGAGCATAGAATATTTCATCGGTCACATTCTCAAATTTCTGAAACTTGTTTGTCCTCGTCATCAGACAGGAAGCTGGCCCACGACGTACTGTACATAATACAAGAGTTAAAGGTAGAATTTTTACTTATAGACTAGAATCAAGTGCAAGAGATGTTTGAAAAAGCTTAGGTTTTGGTCCACATAACATTCGCGAGTGCTAAACGAAAATCGCTGAACCCCTTCAATTTTCTGTGAATACAAGCCTTGAATCCCCAAGACAGTCATCTGTCCCTGACACTCTACCAGTGGCGTGCCTTTTGCAGCAAATTGCCTCAAAGCCGGTCCTCACAGCTCCAGTCCTGATTACATATGAGGCGATATTAACTCGCCAGTGTGTATTTGATGGCCACAATTCTAATCCGTGGGCAACAAAAAATCCAAAGGTTATGTATATCTCAACAAACATTCATTATGAATCTGCGGTCCGGTATCGTCCAAGGGTTCTTAATCTCCCCATACCTACTGCCACAGTTACCCAAAGGCAAAATCTATCGTTTGTTCTGCAATAGGTGTTACCAGAAATGTTCCAGGATGCCCCGATCTTCATCCGTATACGAATGTAAATCCAGTATAATGGTGCACCAATAGATTTTCGGACTAAAGTCTGCGATTAATTACATGCATTTGTGGGGCGCTATGAATCAGTAGTGGCAGACCAGTTCCTTGGCCACGCCTATCCAGCTATATTTCGAGGTTCGATTATTTATTGGGGGATATCCGAACTGTCTTGTCTATGCATCTCCAGTTGATTCAGTATATCGTTGCTCGAATATCAGTAGCTACTGCGTGTGTGCATGAAATACCTATAATCATTGGGAGTGTACACAAGTCTCTCCACCGGTGTTGTCAAGCATGTATCGCTGTTAGTATTCGGAAATTTGAAATGTTCTTGTAAACGTCTTATTTCAATTTAAGTGAGACATCCTGTACTTATGACTGAATAGATGAATTTCTACCTAAATTTCCTATGTAGATATTGTTCCTTTTTTAGATCTGTACCTCACTTCAAAGTTTGTACCATGAATTTGGAATCATTCGGTATAGGTTAGAGAAAATTTATTAAAATTATAAAAATATCCATCGCAAATAGTATTTTGTGAAATATATTCTGAACAAAAAAATTATTAACACCAAAACGTGTTTTAATAATATTGATGTGTTTTAAATCTTGTTCATATACTGAAAGTAGTATATTTAGACGTGAGAGTACATAAATGTCTTTACATTTTGCAGAATACATGAAATTGAGCAGAGTTTATCTGATAATAGCCGGTGCTGTTGTACTGAAAATGCGATTATCCTTCTTATCATTAGCCCACCAGCGGCCGAGCGGTAAATTCGCTGAACACTGGTAGTTCGGGTCCGAGGTTCATATCCCGCGAACGGGCTGGCTGCATGGGCGTTTTCGTGGTTTTCCCCATGTGTAACGTGTATACGAGGCAGTTTCCCTTAGAAAGTCCTCCACGAAGCCATCCCTTCCCTTAGGCAGATATCCCTCGTGTGCTTTGCCATAATTAAATACACTACCACCTTCTTATTGTTATGAATTGTGTACATAGATGGATAGTTTTAGTGAAATTATATTTGGAATTTCTGTGTTTTCCGGCATAATAATATAACATGAAAAGCATGAGAGATATGATATTTTGCTGAAACCTTAAGAATGCGGGGGCTAGTCTTTAACATTTATTAAATGGCTATCGCGCTATTTTGTCGAGACGTTGCCAAACTCACGACCGTTTTGGCGTTTAATTTTTGTCATCAAATTTCGACACAGTCTGATAAATTGTAAGCTGTAGCATCTAAAGCAAGAGGTTTGAGCCAAGTAGCTACCCTCTGCCACACGTTGCTTGTGTACCCAAAGGAAGCCACCTGCTCCACCAATCAAGACTTCAAGGCCAAGCTAAGTCAAGAATTTTTGCTACTTAAGATCGGAGTAAAAGTAGCGTCAATCAGAGGTATCCAAAAATGCGGCCTCGCAGTTGACTGTCCCACGAAGGATGACCTAGAAAAATTAAAAAGCACATTATCAAGTGAAAAGGGTCAGGATCTGGTCTACGCTAAGGTACCAGCATCAAGACTTCCAAGATTGTACATGCATACCGTCTCACAGATGTCCAGGAAGCAGAGATTGAACGGGCACTGGCATCAGAGCGCAATGCCACAAAATCAACGATCAAGATCCTGTATCGTCTCCGGGACAACGCTGTTGGAGCGAGAAGGGCTCCCGACCTAATGCAAATTCGAGGGTGCCAAACAAAATTAATACCGCCCATTCTTGGATCAATCTCCATGTTGCGACCCCACAGAGCAGTGGCAGACAAGGCGGTAGAAGTACGGTCCCTGCCGAGCCTTACTCTGTCCTGAGAGCCCTCAGGCCTTCTGTGAAGTCTGATATTATGCTCCGTGGATGAGACTGCCTAGGTACAGATCCTAACCAGTACTTCCGAGGCGTTTTGCCTGAGTCATTCCCCGGGAGGGGCCGAGAAGGAACTCATTCAAGTGGGTTCTTGAATGACAACCCATCGTATACCAGCACATCATGCAGGCTCCCAGAATCTATCTCGGCTGACGGGCATTCATAATTGCAGACTTTTACAATACAAAGCGATGCTTCTGGTACTAGGAGTTTGGCAACACTCCAAAGGAATGCACCAACAGCAATATTGTGCCTACTGCACAGAACAGCATGATATACGAAACTGCCGAGCACAACAACCCGCATGAATCAACTGCGCGGATTATAACTATAGGACTACCAGGATCATCCCCTGTGGCCATCCCGCTTACGATGTTAACTGTCCTTCCTACGGAAGATATATTGCTATCATCAGACGAAACACCAGATATCAATGAAGTGCCACAACCTTCCACCCAACAGTCGCCAACGCCGGAAATGCACAGAGATACAATAAAATGCATACAAATTAATTTACAAAGGGCAAAAGCAGTTGCAACGCAATTGGCGCAACATGCAATTAACCACCAACCAGACTTCCTAACCATCCGAGAACCCTACTGCAGAATAGGAGAAGTGGCCTGCCTTCCACGCTCCTGGAAAATCTTGCAATTCATAATGATCCACCACCCAGACTAGCAATCGCCTGGTGCAAACCTCTATGGCTCCACTTACAAACAGAAAAGAAACAACAGAAAACAAACAGAACCAAACAGAAAAGAAATCACGTAGCAATACTCCTAAGTCTCACTAATATGAAAATCATTATATCATCAATCTACAGTCCCCCGCCAGATGATATCCACGAGACTATCTTGAGTATCG